AGTTAACCAGAAAACTTAAATAACCTGGGTAGCACAAGCATTGTTGATCACCTGTTAAAAACAAAGTACACAGAATGAAACTTTGGTGATTGCAGTTAACAGAACAATTAAAATAGCCTGGGTAGCACAAGCATTGTTGATCACCTGTTAAAAACAAAGTACACAGAATGAAACTATGGTGATTGCAGTTAACCAGAAAACTTAAATACCTGGGTAGCACAAGCATTGTTGATCACCCGTTAAAAAATGCGTAAAACACGTAGAATTTTTATTAAATCAAACACTCAACAAATTAGTATTGATACAAAGAACAAAACAACATGACCTAATTGTAGGTCTACAGCATATTGGTAAAAGTAAAACCAAAATAAACTATAATACCTAGAATGTCACAGTTTTCTTTAAATAATTAAAATAAAAAAGAAATGTCCTTCTTCAACATGTAACCATTTTAACATTTAGGTAAACTAGCAAATATCTGGCAGTTATCACAAACTTGGACAAAATGAAACCTAAAATTATTAACAAACCTACCTGTTTAGCAAAGAATATTTTGTCTAGACGATTATCTTGAACGACAGATCCTGATGGTTCATCCCCAGGAAACCACTTGAAAAGAAATATCAGCCCATGAACTGGCCTGAAATACCAATAAATCATCAGATGAGACATTAGTATTAACCACACAGATAAAGCAGTGTATAATATGCCCAGAGTAACACCTTACCATAGTTAATGTATTTCTGTCTAATTATAAATATTACACGTATTAAAAGCAGTGTATAATATGCCCAGAGTAACACCTTACCATAGTTAATGTATTTCTGTCTAATTATAAATATTACACGTATTAAAAGCAGTGTATAATATGCCCAGAGTAACACCTTACCATAGTTAATGTATTTCTGTCTAATTATAAATATTACACGTATTAAAAGCAGTGTATAATATGCCCAGAGTAACACCTTACCATAGTTAATGTATTTTTATCTAATTATAAATATTACACGTATTAAAAGCAGTGTATAATATGCCCAGAGTAACACCTTACCATAGTTAATGTATTTTTATCTAATTATAAATATTACACGTATTAAAAGCAGTGTATAATAT